CAATTTATAACTTCAAACCCTGGAAGTAATGTATAGGTTATGCAATGGATGGCAGTTTTCACTATCAGGGTCCTTTCTGAGTCCAGCCAGTTCCTAAAGCTGCCAATTCTCTACATCCATCTCACCATGAAAGATAAGTTCATTTAAAGCTAAATAAGGTAGAATGGTACAATTTGTCTCACTTGATTCAGTAGTAATGTCTTCAGTTCTGTAGTGCAGGCTACATCAGAACAGATTTTTCTTTCTTAAATGGGACTCTTAAAGTTGTCAAACTTGTTTTTTTCTGTTGTTCAGTCTTTCAATTCCAGTATGAACTAAATGGGCCTTATCCATCTTGTTCTTCCCTTGTTCCATGATCTCTGAAAGTTCTCATTATGCTAACTTTGATGAACCATAATAATTTAAGATAAAGCATATCTTTATAAAATAACATTAGTGTCTTTATTGTTTTGGGTTTTCTCAGTGAACAAAACTATCTTGTCACACAACCTCAAGTTTGGCTGATGATTAATGGATGTGAAACACACTATGAAAACATCCAAATGCCAAAAAATGTGAATTCCTACAACTGATTTTATTTATATTGTTAATTTCAGTGAATAGAGAGCTACAAAGAGGGCTATCTCTTTGTAGCCTTCATAAAAACCACTTATCTGTATGTAGTTTTCTTCTGCTGTTGAATTTTATTCTAAAAAGACTTTGTTAAATTGATTTTGTTTATTCAGTAAACAACTATTGAGTGTCAGAACTATTCTGTGCTTTAAAGAAACTGACATGTAAAACGGTCCCCATCAAATGAAGATGAGAGACAAAAAGATCATTGTATCAGAGGTTGGTAAATCTACAGCAGACATATTTTATACATCAGCTATAGTTCTAATCTAATTTCCCTTTTCTTAGCACATTACCTCTCTATGGTGCTTCTTAAATTTGAAAATGGTATGGAATAATCTGAGTGCTCCGTTGAAATGGAGATTCCTAGGCTCTACCCCTCGAGAGAGTCAGTAGATCAGAGAATCTTCATTTCCCCAAAGAATAGGTGTTTTGAGAGCTGGTAACCCTAGGACTTCACTTGGAGAAAGAGCCCTTGTGTGATCTTTCCCTTTTGCCCAAGACTTCCCCAAATGAGAGTGCTACAAGGCCTCTTTTTATTACTCTATCTGCTTATCTCAATGACATACTGCCAACTTAGATTTACGAGGTTCATATCAATTCATTACCTTGATTTGAAGTAATCCTTCGTAGTGATGTGCGGAACTTACTGATGTCAGTTGTACCTAGCCTTCTGAGAATGAAACCCATAACTGTTGCCTCACCCAAAGGCTTACTTTAATGGTGGGGATACCTGGAAGAAGATGATGAGGGGATGCCCCTCTTATGGTGTAATAAAAGAGTGCTTTTTTAAAAAGGGTATAAAAACACATCAGTTAGGAACTGCCTATATGTAGGCAAACATTTTATAAGTATTCATCATTTAATCCTCATAACAAACCTACAAAGCAGGTGCTATTGTTATGTCTATTTTACAAATAGGGACACTTGCCCAATGTCACACAGCTACTGCATGGTAGAGCAGGGATTTGAACTCAAGTGGTCTGGCTCCAGGATATGGTGGCTGTAATGATTATACTAATGCTACCTTTCTTTTAGTCAGTGGAATGACCTGTGGTCCCTTTGCTATCAATTTCACATCACAATTACTCCAGTAAGTTACACAAATGAATAAAGAAACAACGGACAAAAGCCATCTTAAAAGCGAAACAGAACAATGCAAACAGTATATAGTATAGTTTTCAGTGTATTTTCAAATCAAATATGTATTTTAACCTCAAATTACAGGAAAATTTTAGTAAAGAAGAAAGAGCCCAGTAGATTCATAATAACACATAGTAACATATCTCATGTTCTCAGAAAAGAAAATGATATTTACTTTTACAATTTTTGTTTTGTTTTGTTTTTTTGTTTTTTGTCTTTTCTCCCAGAAATACAGGTACTCCACCCTGAGCATGAATTTTTGAGTCAGAAAGAGCAGTCTTCTAATTCTGGCCTGTCACTTACTTGCTTGATGACTCATGGCAATTTTTTTACTTTAATTCTCTGCTATAAAATGGACTTGACAATACAAGGTTTGGTGAATATTAAATAAGATAATTATATCAAGTGCTTAACCCAGTGTCTGGAATATAGCAGCCTCTCAGCTATCAGTACCCATTTGCTGGTATTATTATTAGAGGTAGTTATTAGTAATAGTATTAGTGGTAGTAATAATTTTGATACTCTTATTAGACTATAACATGTTTAGACAGAATATTTTTGATGAAATGAATACATCATGATTATGAAATGCTTCTTCTGAGATGAGCTTATTTATCTTTACCAGGTGATCAACCCAATACTCATCAACTGCTAGCCCAGGCCACACGCCTGCGGGAGAGTGCTGAACTCTTCCAGTCGGATGAGATGCGTCCTGCTAATGATCCAAAGGAGAGAGATCCCGCCCGTGTCAGAATGCTAAATGACATTCTCCAAGACATGGAGAAGAGCTTCCTGATACAGCAGGTGCCACCAGGTTTTTATAGGTAGGATATGTGTCTCAACATTTATATTTGTATACCCGTCAATTAAATTCTTTTATGTTTGACTTTCAGAACACGTATCTTCTGTGAACAAAACACTATATGTTTTTAAATTGTAAAGCAGTTATTATATCTCCACTTTAAGGACCATTCCCCTCCCCCAAAGAAAAGTTTAACTTCATAAATATAGAAGAAAGGTAACTTGGTTTAGCAGTATCATATAGAAAATGATTAATAATTTTTTTGACATTAAACTCAATATGGGTCAAACATGATATGCATACTGAAAAACCAAATGAAATTGTAGGTTATATTGGGAGAAATACACTTTCATGAATGAATCAGGATACAAACCCATGACATTCTGTCTTATTATATATAGTAGGACCTAAAAATTTCATTCTAAGAGGGCGTTAAAGAAGTTTAATATTGAAGGGAGAGTAGGAATTAGGTGAATCTTGAAACAACCAGGGGACTATTTAGTTGGAGAGTCACAATAGAGTGGTTTTTGAAAAACATTTATGCACTTTAACAAATATTTTACACAAACAATTTTCATTTGGCAGGAAATTCAATTTCAGCTCTTAGAGGATGAAATGAGTAAAACATGGCTTTATTTTTGAGGTTCCTGATATATTAGAAACTAAA